AGGCATGACACCCTTATGCTGATAGTGGTACAGGTCAGAAATAGTGAATATGGAAACAAATATTTCGCTGAAATGTTCTGCCATTTAAAGGGACATGTCTACTAGCAATATACATATATAATTTTTTCCACCAGTAATCTTTTTTTATGTTGTATTTCTCAGAGAAAGAAAAATAGATTTTAAAATGTAAAAACCTGTTCTTCAATTGAGTATGCAAAAATCTCATTGCAGTATTTATTCTAAACCTGCTCTCATAATGTTCAGTCAAGGAGAAAACAGCAAAAAACAGTTGTTGATGGACTTAGCAGAGAACTGGATTAAATAAGCATTAGTCTACTGAAGCTGATTACAGGAATATGAAAATGCAGTATCTTAATGGTACATATTTTTATGTGGCAGCTCAGTTGCCTTTCATTTTGCAGCTAATATGTCTATTCTTATGAGTCATTTACTTCTTTAATTACCTTTTGCAGGCAAGGCACCATGGTATATTAATGTGAATGATTTTTACTGCCAGTTTATCATACAATGCCCCAGAAGTTGAAAGGCGTAATTGACTTGGAAGAACAGCTCATGAAGGAAACAATATTTAGTTGACAGTTTTCCTTGTACTCTCTGTTGACGTTTATGAGTTTACACTATGCTAAAGGAGTAATAAACACAATTTTCTTTCAATAACAGGAAAGGGTAGCTTCTAAAATACATTTGTGGAAAACACATTTGTTCATTTCTTGAATAATACGAAAATAACACATTTCCAGTGATAAGGCTTCTCAGATTGCCAATTGAATTAAACCTTCGAAGGTGCATTTATAACCTGTCTCAGAGCATTAGGAGATATTAGGGTTCATGTGATTGAATCTATTTAATGAATATTTAAATTATAAACAGATTTAGATAAATCATATTTAACTCTGGGTGTTAGGGTGAGACTATTTGGTCCTGTGCTCCCAACTTCCAGGAGAAGGGAAGGCAGGACGGCAGCTTGGGGATTGGGAATTGTCTGGAGGAAGATTTTCTTTCTCCAAAGGGAGGGAAATTCTGATAGTACATTTTGGAAAAGTAAAGAAGGCATAGTCAATGCAACTCCTTATATGGCCTGGCCTTTGAAGAGTTAAATAGATATTTGGGTGGGTCGCTGCTGTTTTGGAGCCTGGAAAGGTGCCTTGACTTGACTTGGGCAGCGTTATTTTAACCATCACTTCCACAGCCCCCTTGGCCCTAAGCTGGTTCACTGGCTCTGGGCAGGCCCTGGTTTGGCACATTGGTTCAGAGGGAGTTAAACTTTTCACAGTTTTCTGGGTTGTTTGCAGTTCAGTCCTGTGCAACATAATGAAAGTTTTCTAGCCATCTGTTGTTAAGCTGGCGGTGAACAAGGCCAGTATATCCAAACAAAGTTCTGGCCTGCTGTAAACTGAACCTGTCAGTTTAGCATAGCTTTGCTGACCCCTCCAAGGAACAGGGCAGCCCTCGGTACCAGGCACTCACCACTTAGAACTTTCAAAGGGGAACTATTTTGGGAGTAGCGGGTAGGGGCCTGTTTACTTTTTTCTTCTGTGTTCCTCTCACTGGCTTGGACTGGTTTATACTTAATCTTTAAATGTACAAATGTATACTGATCTCCCCTCCTTTTTCAGAGGGGAGGGCATTTCTTCTTAATAGGGGATTATTACTTTTCTTTTTTTTTTTTTGAGACAGAGTCTTGCTCTGTCGCCAGGCTGGAGTGCAGTGGTGCAATCTTGGCTCACTGCAACCTCTGCCTCCTGAGTTCAAGCGATTCTCCTGCATCAGCCTCCTGAGCAGCTGAAATTACAGGTGTGCACCACCACGCCCAGCTGATTTTTGTATTTTCAGTAGAGATGGGACTTTACCATGTTGGCCAGGATGGTCTTGATCTCTTGACCTTGTGATCCACCCGTCTCAGCCTCCCAAAGTGCTGGGATTATAGGTGTGAGCTACCATGCCCGACCAGGGATTATAACTTTGAGAACAAGGTAGGAATGTCTGTAGATGTGTGTGAGGTGGCTGTATTCAAAGGGATATTCTGTGCAGTTATTTTTGTTTTATTATTTTCTCTTTCAATGTCTTGGGGAGGACAAATAGTCCAGGAAAGGAAGCACCTATATTTATTACTTAGTTTATATAAGTAAAGTTTTCATAGCCTTAAGAGGACTTTTTTCCCCTTTCTGCTGCTTTTTGTATTTCATCATCGGAAGTTAATATACAGGCAGAGCAGCAGTTAGACAGTACTCCCTGCTGTATGGGGTATTTCCTGCTTCTCTGTTCTCATTTACAAGGTGTATCATTGGCTTTAGTTGCCCAGCTTAACCTTAAAATAATTCCATTGTTTGGCGGTATTTTTCCTACTGTAGTATATGTCTCATTCCTTTTCTGTTTAGCAGTATTTCCTTGGCTCTACATGAAATGCTCCCATACATTTGGATCCTTGAGCTATCTATCTGTCTACCTACCTGCCTACCTGCCTATCTGTCTCAATACCTAACACTTCCCGTCACTTTTGTGGGTTCCTTTTGTTAATGATACCTTGTAGGCGCTGCTGTATTTTTGTCTTGGCCTTGCTATCATGTGTTTCTTGTCCATCCTTGGTTACATTTGTGCCCTGTTAAGAGAGGGCCCTGGAGAGTTATCGTTAAACCTCAGACCTCAGTGTTCATTCCAAATCATTAAAATATCAAGGAGAACAGCCAGTGTTTTTGGATAACTATTTTGGCCACCCTGATGGCCACCTTGGTCTGTCTAGGTGGAAGCAGACCACAGTCCCACACAGCAACGAAGAAACAAGATACTGAAAGCATTTAGACAAATGTCTGAAGCACCAGAGTGAGAGGGTGTGGGCTCAACTTCAACTGCAATCAAGAAATGCACAAGGGTCAAGAATTCCATAAATGGGGGTAGGGACAGAAGAGGCAAAGAAATAAACAAGGAGACACCCAAGCTTTCCCCTTTAAGGGACAGGGAGTATTATAGCAGTGAAAAATATTTAATTTAAAATTTAAATGAATGCACTTACTAGGAAATACCATAGAGTCATAATCTGTTTGTAAGGTGACTGACACATAAAGTGCTTTTTTGTTTTAAAGTAAAAAAAAAATCACACACACACATATTCGGGGTAGAGTTTCGTGTATAAAATGTCAGGTGCAATGTAACGGGTACTCAACTCCAAGAGTCAAGCAAATAACCTTGGTATTTAGGACGCTGCCTTTTAGAACATGAAATTGTATTTTGTTGTGTGTCTTTTTTTTTTTTTTAGAGGAGGACTACATTAAGAGGTCACCTATTCGCTGTGTTTTTGCTGTCTTAAACTCAGCCCTTCTGTCTATTAAAATCAAACCACTGTGTAAACATTCCCGTGTTTTTCTTGGTCTCTACAATGGCCACGGGGATCAGGTTTCACCTGCCTGCACATCTTCAAGCAATTAGAGCAATTAGCGTGAAGCCATTTCACATTCAAGGATTCAAGGTCTATGGTGACATTCAAGTCCAGGAGAAGTCTGAAAGGGAGAGGAGGAAGAGGCCCAGAGCTAGACGACTATTCCATGGCCCTGAGCAGACAATTTCTCTTTTAAAAATGGTGGCTCTTTAATGATGTTATTATGAGGTTTTTAAATGACATATCAAAAGTTGTTTATATCACAAAAACCCAACAGTCATTTAATTATACTAATGAAGGTCTTTATATGTGGCATATTTTTAAAAAAAGACTTCTAATGGCCATGAGACGTGGAGTGTTGCTGCTCCTTGCATCTCAGTGGTGGTGGCAGCATTCTGTGTAGAGGAAGAACGTATTTTATCATGTATATGGGAAATTGCATTTCGCTTTTCACAGTAAACCTCCCTGTGTTTTTGGTAAATCTAACAATTACAGCAACATGGAATATTTAGTTGGGAGATGTTTGGAAAGAGTGTTGAAAGCAACTATGTTTGTTTGCTTTTTTTTTTTTAAGGTTAGAGAACAACCATGGCAACTTTGATGGATTGAACTAATACAGTTCAAACGAAAATCATCAACTTGATAGCTGTATAGGCATGGCACATCTGATAGCTGTATAGGCATGGCAGAGGTGTCTTGAAAAAATACTGTTAGGATCTAATAGGGTTTTGGCTTTGTTTGTTTGTGTTATTTGTCTTTTGTGGGGTTTTTTTTGCATTTGTAACTTAGTTACCCAGGACTCGTTTGCACAAGGCAAATCTTAAACTAATTACAGCTTTTAAAAAGTGGGTTGTACATTTTTAAATCCATATTTCAATGATAGTTTATTATGCAAAAAAGGAGGGGCACTAATTTTAAAAATCCAACCATGCTGCAAAAGAAGATCTTGCTTTGCAGTCCCAGAGGGTGCTTGCAATCAAGAATAACCGCAGCCTAAATTATAATGTGGAATTCTGTTGCCCTCTAACCTGATGCTGCCTGCTCATATTCAGTGTTTGTTAACAAACAGCTTTAAGAACAAAACTGTTAGGAGAATTACTATTTCATTGTATGCGCTGACTTTAATGAAAATAAGAGGCTTTTTTTTAAAATTGCATGTCTCTAAGAAAGTTGCGATAATTCCTTTACAGCACTGCCCTAGTTGGCTTACAAGCGACTAGGTGTTGAGCAGTTACATATCTGTAGGACAGAACACATCTATTTGTGTGACTGAAGCTGGAACATTTGTGTTCATTCCATAACTAGCCATTTTAGGGAACTGGACTGCTTAGAGCTCTCTAGCCCCATCTCGAACTACTTATAGCTCTTCTTTGAGAGATGCTTTTCCTGACCGCCCACTTTCATGGCGCCCAGGCTGTGTGCCTTTTGATACTGCAACGCAGTGCAGCTGCAGGGGATGGTGATAAAATGCAGCGTGTTGGACACTGAGCAAGGTAAGAGTGCCTTTTTCTCCTGCCCCTTGAAAATGGATTGCTAGGAAATCATTTCCTGGTCTCTAACTGGACCAGCTGAGTTAGAGAGGAACATTTGCATTGGATACTCCACCCCTCCCCAAAGTGGAGAAAGCAGGCGTGGAAGCACTGTGAGGCTCAGGAGGGAGGTGAGGCAGTAAACCAGATCTTTCCCATTTTTTCCCTCTAGCCTAGTCCTCTGTTTCTATGATCTGCCTTTTGAACTGTTTTTGTGACTGATCAGTTCCACCTAATATGTCTCTTGATTTCTGCTATTGTAATACTCAGGCGACATGCTGTTCTCTTCATTTTTATAAGCTTTAGATGCTTCTGCCTGTCATTTTCTGGCGGTTTATCTTCAGCGTCTGGATTTGCTTTCAGACTTGAATGTCTATCAAGCTGCCGTTGCTTTGAATGTGAGATCAAAAGAAGATGAATTCCAGTAAAAAATTTCCTTCTATGAAGAAAAGATTGGGGCCTATGTAAACATCCCACTGACAGCTCCCAATGAGTTATTTTAGCCGAGTATTAGCACCTGGATGACAGACAGTCCAGCACTCCACGCTAAATAACAAATCAGTAGCTTCCGTGGCAGAAGAACATTGCCACAAGAGCAATACATTTTGAGAAGGATTCCTTTTCTTCCTCCTTTTTTTTTGTTATTGAATATGGCTGTTCAACTCTTCCTCCTGTTTTTCAAGCTGACTTGCTGTGCCTTCAGCAGTTTACTTTTCTTTACAGTCTCTGTTGAGTTGCTCCGGTGCCAGACGTCAGGACTGTAATAATCATTTTGGGGTGGGTTAAGGAGTGTTCCAGTAGGCAGGCTAGGCATCTGGAGATAAACAGGTAGTTTGCTAGATGGTGGAGAAGGAAAATGTAAAGGACAGCCTGTCAAAGCCAGATCCAGGGTACATCCCTGGAATGCGGGACAATGTGTTCTTTAAAAATACGTGTGACAAAAATCCTCTAAAGTCTGCAAAATCTGAATTTTCTTCTTCTTTTTTTTTTTTAAAGCATCCTGCCTATGTAAATGTCACCACAAAAATATCTCAAGAGCAGGTTTCCCGAAACCCTGTTGGTGTGTATTTGTCTGCGTGAATGAGCTGTGTTTGGCTAGGGCTTGGTCTAGCCAGGGCGCACTGCGTGTGCTGTGTCGCTGCTTGCAGACCTGGAGCGGTTTAGATACGTGTGGCATTAATAGATTTCTTTAAGTGCTAAATGCAACTTTGAAAATTACCTGCAAGCTCCAACTGATCTTTCAACTTTGAAAGTGAAGAATTACTTGAGGAATTCTTGTGGTTTCTTTGTCATTTAGTGAGAGCCCAGCCAGCTACTGTGGAGGCAAACCTCCCTGAGGTTGCCTACAAAGGGCAATGTTCCAGTGTGTTTTCTCTTCGAGTGTGCTTCAGCCGCACAGTACTTCCTGTTTATTCAAACATCTTTTTCACCACTCGGCAACCCCCGCTTCGCAGAAACAGCCAGAACCCATCTACAGCAAGAAGACGGAAATCCAAAGGCAGACAGTACGGGCTCCCTTCGCCAAACTCTTCATTTTCTCTGTAAGTGTCCAGAGAAAAAGAAACATTTTTTGCTGGGTTAAACTTTTAAACTAGGAATCCGTTCTTGTGCAGACATTCTCTGAAGGGCGAAATAGGATGATCCAACTTGTTTACTGCTTTTTTTCCTCCTCCTCCCCTCCTCTCTCCATCAGGGGCTTTTTTCTTTTTAGAGATTTTAGAGGACCAGTTCCTTCTCACTCCTTGTTTAATTCACTCTTGCTTTCAAATATGTCTTTGGATATAATCAGCTAAGTAAGCAGCCGGGTGGTGTCAGGATGTTTTACAGGCTGAACGTAGATGGGAACCTCTCTCTGCTTACTGTGACATTGTTTCGTGTTGCCTTCTTTTTCTTCCTGTTATCACAAGTAGTAAGAGAACGTGGGGATGGTGCCTTTGTAATTCTGCATCTACAGAATTGTCCCCTGATGTTTGCATCACGACGCCGTCATCGTTTGTGAATCAGTCTTGATAATATTTGTACCAATTTCATGCCAATAAAAGTCAGACTGCTGAAACACGCACGGTCATTATCTCATTCATATAACTATTGTTTAAACAGAGTGGGCTGCATACGGAAAGGAAAAGCCTGCCTCACTTTCTGTGACGGTTGTTAACTTTGATGTTGGAAGACTCTTTACAAAAATTTTCATTGTGGATAATCAGTATGGCAGGAAAAGCCCTCAGACTTGAGCTGCCCCTTGGCTCTGAGTAGAAGAGAGATCTAATGGCTTAGTCCTTTCTGTTGAAATTACTTTTTAAACACATGGTTTGACATTTTTAAAAAAGGTTCCACCTTTTCCTGTCTGTAGTCCCTCCTTTTGCCTCTCTCCCCTCCCTCCACATCCCCCTTCCCTGACCCCCAACTTCAGTTTAATTGGTAAGCCAGGTGTTAATATTTTTTTAACTATATACTGGTCAGGGAATAGACAGGAAATGGAAAATTAGCTCTTTTGATCTTAAGAGAATTGTTGTTACTCTGAACCTTGTTTGCTAGTCCCCAGACTAAATATTTTTAAATTTTAGTGTCTAAAACAGCATCTATTAGATTAGAGAAAGAAATATGCCCTGGGGTTGTCCAAACCTCTCGTGGAAGAAACATTTAAATACATAAAATAAGTAAGAGCTTTTGTGTGTGTGTGTGTGTGTGTGTGTGTGTGTGTGTGTGTTGTGTGCGCGTATTGCTATGGCTGTGATGTCTTTTCCAATGTTCAGAAGTTGTTCTCTTTTGCAAGAAAAAATAAGATGTTTGCGACTGCCTTAAGGACAATTTGTTTAACAGTAGGAGTAATTGCAGGGAAAATGGAAAGAGTGACTGAAGGTATTTACTCAGATGTTAGTGTAGGTGTGGGGGCCGAAAACTCAGTGTGGGAACAGTGGGCTGCTTTTCTTGGTATCTCAGTCTATTTGATGACCATCAAATTTCCCAGCTCGCTGGTTTTGTTTTTTCTGGATGGCATGTTTGATTATTTATCAGAAGGGGAAGGGAGTAGCTGAAGCAAATAAACATGTGACCAAGTTCTGTTTTGTTTTCCACTCTGAAAGCCATGCCCTTTAACAGATATACAGAAAATAATAAATGCATTGTGTTATGATAAAAGGAAATTATATGTGTCTTTTTTTTTTAAGGCAAGTGAGTTAACCCTTAAGGCTCAGGAGGCTTTTTGCCTTCTGAGAATTTGCCAGTCTTTTTATTGAGAATTAGTCTATTGCAACTAATGGTTTTATGGGACAGGATTTCCCAGGATTACTTTGTTCATTAGTTTAGCTTTTTCTAGGCGGTTCACTTAGGACTGCCGGCCTCAGTAGCTCAACTGTGTGGTGTATGTGTGTGTTTAAATAATAATAACGTTGGACAAACCAGTGGCTCTTACAGTTTTGTTAAAAGCTGTATTGTGAGGTTTAGAGCTAAACTTGAAGAGTTCAGCTAAAGGAAATTACACCATAGAGTCTGTGGCTAGGGTACAATGTAATTTATCAGAGGCCAGCATGTTGCCCCTCTCTTTAAAGATGTCAGGCAGGTGCTGTAATACAAAGAGTCTACTTATTTGTCGGTGTCCCTCATAAATATCTTCTAGTCTTTAATATTATGTAACCTATTTCATTATCTTCAAGGTCGTCATTATCTCAGATTGATTCCTCCAGAGGCCAAGGGAAAGGTTCAAATCTATATTAAATTTAGATTTAAAATTTATGTAGCTTTTAGTTCTCAGGTGGGGTTTGCATGGCTTTGTGACAACATTCTTAATATGTAGGCATTCACTGATATAGGTGTGCACACTGGCACATTCTTTAGATACTGGAGCATGATTTTTTCTAGGGGCTTCCTTCTTCACATCCTGAAGAAGTGATATGGGTGATTCTAGCACACTGCCTGGCCCAGTTGTATCAAGACCCATAAATCGCAGCTGAAAATCTGTTTCATTGCCTATACTGTGTTGGAATGTGAATTGAAAATATGCACACAGAAGGGATTCCCTCTTCATTGACTATATAAGGGAACGGTGCAGCAGAGGCTCAGCTACGGCACAACTTTCACGAGTATTGCCCTGAAGATAACTGGGAGGTGGCTTTGCTCTTGAGAAGACAACCGTGGAAGCAGTGGCCTTTCTGCCTCTGTTGTCCTCTCCAAAAGGCAGTTGGGTTGGATAATCATGTTTTGCATTTATACAGAGCCCTTTGTCTGTAGAAATCAAAGTGCCTGACTAATGCTAACTTAGTAATACTCAGAACACCCCAGGGACATAGGTAGGCTGCAAAGATTATCCCACTTTTGAGGTGGGAAAATGTCCGGTTGTTAAAATCGTTTATAATTTCCGGGTGTGTCTGTATTTAATGCTCAGGCTAGACCTGGAAGCGCTATGATCTGGAGATCATGAGAAGCATTTTTTCCTGTGACACAGTCAGCCTTGACCACAGGCAGTCTCATGAGAAAGTGTTTTACCATGAAGAAGCTGGCCTGGAAAATATAGCTAGTGCGTGATGGTGGTGGTGGTGGGAGGGAGGAGGTGGTGAAGACTAATTGTGCTCAATTTTAATCTATTTAGGGTCAAAGGATGTATTTTTTTAACAATACAGCATGGGCTGAAACTTCTGATTTTTGTTTCGTTTCTCTTAAACTCAATATGATATTGGCAATTTAACTTCCACAAAAATCAAGTGAGTTTGCTCTTTGTGAAGAAAAAGATACAGTACTGCTTATGGGCTCTGCAAAGTTAAGTCAGCGGTTGCTCTGTAGTTACATGCTTTGGGGGCAAAAGGACTGAAACATGCTGTTAGCCTCGTATGGGACTGTGTGATTCTGCAATTCTGGAGTGCCGTGGGCCTTCCTAGGTTTCTAAAGCACACTGTAAAAATCAGGCAAGTGCCATTTGCTGTTCAGAGTCCTTTTATGAAAGCTTTTCCTGAAAACTCCACAGTAGGGTGTAGGTGTTTGGGTTGTTTGGCTCCTGATACTGTTTGTTTGTTAGAACCTGAATATAGAAATTGATTTGAAAAAAATCTTCAGTTAAAATGTGCTTTTAATTTCAAAAGGTAATTTTTTAAAGACCATACAGAATGATTCCAGTTTTGCTTAAGATAATTTCTTCTCTTTGTTTTTCTTCTCTTTTTTTTTGTCTTTTGAGACAGAGTCTTGCTCTGTTACCCAGGGTGGAGTACAGTGGCACGATCTTAGCTTACTGCAGCCTCTGTCACATGGTTTCAAGGGATTCTCGTGTCTCATCCTCCCAAGTAGCTGGGACTACAGGTGTGCACCACCACACCTGGCTAATTTTTGCATTTTTGTTAAAGATGAGTTTTGCCGTGTTGCCTGGGCTGATCTCTAACTCGTGGACTCAAGCAGTCCACCTGCCTTGGCCTCCCAAAATGTTGGGATTACAGGCATGAGCCACTGTGCCGGGCCAAGAAAATTTCTTTTCTATCATATCCCCAGATGCTTAAAATGTGTCATTGTAGGTGACGGTGTCATATTTGTTGTTTTTCTATTATTCTCCCAATTCATGTTTACATGTTTCGTATCTTTTACCATGAACTTATTACTTTCATAATCCATAGTTATACAGCACTTTTCAAAATCACTTGTTCTTTACCGAATGTGAGGCTCTACACTATGCTCTTTACATGTATCAATTTCACATAGGTACTTTTAGTTCCTCCCATTCTTGTTGGGAGGTTAAGTAACTTGTCTCAGGACACACAGCTAGCAAATGGTGGAACTGGGCTTCAAATCCAGACACTATGATTGGTGTGCATTCAATCTCTGTGTATGCCGCTTCGGTAGAAATATATTATTGTTTTTGAAAGCAAATGTCTATTTCTTTGTAATTTCTGTGATTTTCTCAAGGTCAGTAATTCCCCCAAATTCCCAGAGAATCCTTATTTCTTCATGCCTGGAGACTCAAGTTCCACCTTATGCTAAACTGTGGTTACTGGAGGTTCCAAAGATCATTGTCACTTTTCACGCACAACTCTGTGAGCACAAGTGTGCGTCAGATGACCACAGTTTCTTTTTTTCAAATTCTGTATTAAAGAAAGTGTTTCTAATTCCTCGACCAAACCAATCAAATCTGTATTTCTTTTGCTGTAACCAGTAGCCACCATAAGATATAATCTTTTTAAAGTTCACTACAAAGTTACCTTTTTGTGTGACTTAGATTAACTGAATATATTCTAATATATGTGACTTATTTTTGTTTTAATCTGTCATGTCAAGCAAGTAGTTCTAGTTCTAGGTGAATGGAAGAACTCCAAATTCGTGGATCTGTGGATTAGTGGCCTTTTTATTTGTGTGTTGTTCTTGAATACAGTGAAGAGATTCTATCCAGGCTGTGTGACCTTGACCATATTACATAAACTTTCAGTTTATATAAAGTAATTCAGAACCAATTGTAGTTGGGATTCAGTGTTAGTTACCATTTTCTTCATAGGTAATATCACCACCAGTATCGTCATCTCCTCCTAGCTCAATATTTGGCCTCTTAGGCAGCCATTCCTGTATTGAG